AAAAAAAAAAGATCATGTGATAATAGATAAAACACCAACTACTAGGGCTAGTATATAAGGAAACTAAAATGACTGCAGGTAGAGTGCTATAAAAATAAGAGAAAATAGAAAAATCAATGAACATATAGAGAATTTCAATAAAGAATTAAAATCTGTAAAGAAAACAAAATGGGCCAAAAAAAAAAAAATCCACAAAAGTAACCAAAATAGGTATTATAGAAGTAAAAAAACATTAGGAACTCATTTTGTGTATTGACAGTATACTGGACAAATCAGAAGATATACCAAAGAATTCAAACAAGCCAATACAACATTTCCAAATTGAAGCAGTGCTTCAATTTGAAACAAATTCAAATTCAATTTCAAAATGAACAGCAGAAGAAGAGTGTGGTGCATGGTCTAAAGGTATAGCATATGTCTAAATGAAGACCTTGCAAGTAAGGAAAGAATGGGCCAAAAGCAAAGCATGAAGAAACAATTTCTGAAAACTTATAAAACAACCAAGAGATTCAAAAATCTCAACAAATCCTAAATAGGATTAGTACAAAGGAAAACAAATCTGGACACTACTAAATAAATCAAAGATAATTTTTACAAAATACTAAAATGAGCCTACAAAGAGTAACGTTAAGACAACTGCTTCACAAAAACAATAAAAAGTAGTAAACAATGGAAAGTGATTTTTTTTTAAAGTACTGAAAGAAAATAATTCCACAATAAGAAGAAAAAAAAAAAAGGAAAGGAAAAAAAAAGGAAAAGAATTTTATACCTATTAAAAAATATGCTGGGCACCTGTGACTCATGTCTATAATCCTAGCTACTCAGGAGGCAGAGATCAGGAAGATAAAGGTTCAAGGCCAGGCCCAGGCAAAAATCAAGACCCTATCTCAAAAATACTCAACATAAAAAAGGGCTGGTGGAGTGGATCAAGTAGTAGAGTGCCTGCCTAGCAAGCATGAGGCTCTGAGTTCAAGCCCTAACACTCTTTCCACTCAAGAAAAAAAAAAAAAAAAACAACCTTGGCATATGCCTATAATCTCAGGTACTCAGGAAGTGGAGAATGGGAAAATCGAGGTTTGAGGTCAGTCCAAAAAGTTAGTGAGATTCCCATCTCAATTAGTGAGCCGGGCCTGGTGGCATTCTTCTGTGATACCACCTACATAGAAGGCCTTAGGTAGAAGGATTGCAACCTGAGGCCAGCCCTGGACAGAAACACAAGACCTTACCTGAAAAATAACCTAAAAGCAAAAAGAGGCTGGGGGCAAGGCTCAAGTAGTAGAGCACCTGCCAGTGAGTTCAAACCCTAGTACCACCAAAAACAAAACAAAAGACCTTTGAAAATGGTAAAACAAATATATTTCAAGCTAACAACAACAACAACAAAAAAACTGAGACAATGTGTTATCAACAGGTATGAAATGAAGTAATAGTTATGACAAAATTAAAAATTTTGTGTTTCAGCCAAGTGTGGTGGCACATACCTGTAATCCCAGCATTCTTGAGGTCGAGGTCATTCTGGGCTCATCATGAGTCTCAAACCCCCCTCCTCAAAAAAAAAAATTGTGCTTCATGCCAGGTATGGTGTCATATATCTCTAATCCCAGCAATCAAGGTGCTGAGGCAAAAGACTGTGAGCTTGAGGCCAGCCTGGGCTATAGGGTGAAACCCTATCTCCAAAAATCAAAAAAGACCATATAATAAGAGAAAATAGGGCTGGGGATATGGCTCAAGCAGTAGAGCGTCTGCCTCACAAGCACAAAGCCCAAAATTCAAACCCCAACACCACCAGAAAAGAGAAAAAAAAAGGTATAAATCTACTTTTTCTTTTACAAACAAAAAGTTACTATAATACTGTAGAAAGTTACCAATTTTAGTCTTTTGTGTGTGTACCAGAGGTACACTATAACATTTACAGAAGAAAGTTACTAATTTTGAGAAAAATTTTAGTTCATTTCAAACCATTTTTAGATTAAAAAGATATAACTTTGTTTTTCAAAAGTTGTTTTTTTCCAAGTTCATCTAAATTAGTAATGTTTCCTGAATAAATTCCTTTAAAAATCATTTAAGCAATATTTAATATATAATTCAAATAAGTCCAGATATCATCTAACACAGTAACTAGTACCTGACAATAGGTCTACAGTAAGGAGAAAGAAAACTAGAGTCTATTGAAACATACTTCATGTATGTTACATCATTTAATCACCACAATCATCATATGAAGTATAATTCCACTCCTATAGATGAGGAAATTAAGCCTCAGAGTTACTTAAACTTGGCCATGATTATAGTGTTTTAAGTGACAAAGCTGGAATCTAAATAATATCGACTACTTTATGTATTAACTCAGGCTTTTCAACAACCCTATAAAAGTATGTTACTTTGCTATTATTACCCTCACTTACATATGAGAAAATTGAGACACAGAGAAAGGAATTTGGTCAAGGTTGTGACACAATTTTACAATTTTTAGAAGAGTTGGGATGTTAGCCTAGCTCATCTAATAAGACTGCAGAGTCTGAATTCTTAATTACCATACTACCCTGCTGCCTCTCCAGGATTCAAAACCAAGGTCTCTGTAATTCCACTAAGCCAAAATATGTCAGTATATAATTAATATGTCATGAAAATCTAGTTAGGAAAGCAATGAGTAAAAAATGAATCCATAGCTAATTCTTTACACATCTTAACTTTTTAAATATATACATTTCAAAAGACTACTCTATCCCATGCACTGCATGAAGGCAAAGATTTGATTGTACATTAAGTTAGCAGTGAAACCATTCTAATGTATGAAACCCCTACAATTATACTACTATAGGCACAAACAGTAGCCAAGTATCAACTAAATCTCATTTAAGGTATAATAAGAAAAAGTGATTATGCAACATAATAAATTCCACAAACTAATTTGTGTTTTAGTTAAACTGTCAAGAAGAGTGTTTCTCCTAACATACCTTTTCTTGCTGCAACCTTAAAAGCAAACCACGCTGTTTCTTCCGGAGTGGGGGCATTTTATCATCTTCTCCTTTGTCTCGTAGATGTCTGTGAATAATATATTTCATTGTCACAAAGAATGGATTAAATTTATAATTTCAAGAATTCTTCACTACAAAAAGCCTATAAGCTAATTTAATGTTTTTATATGTCAAAAATAGTTGCAACATATACCGATTCACAAGTATTTAATACATGTGAGCCCAAGAAAATATCCTTTAAAGACAGAAGTATTATAGAGGAATTAAGTATAACATGACAATGTAAGATGAGTCAAAGTCATAAAGGGAAAAAGAAAAGAAACCATTGTGTGGGTAGGAAGGAGGTCTTGAAAATCACACAAATTAAATATTACTGCCATATTCCTAGCGTGAGAAACTGGGTTGATTGAGTCAAATTAAATGAGGGGAACAAGGGATGTAGCACAGTGGAAAAGTTTGTACACTGCATGCACCAGGCCCTGGGTTTATCCCCAGCACCAAAATAGGCAAATAAATTAGGAAACAAAAAGATCTTAAAACACAAAGCATTTTATTTTTATGAAAGCAAATGAATAATGAAAATTATGCTCACTAAAAACACTTACTTTTTTTGATGCTCTAGCCAGGCTAATTCAGCCTTGGTCTTCTCCTTCAACGCTTTTTCACGGAGACGCAAAAGTGAAGACTGGTGAGCTGCACGCATTTCTTCTTCTTTCATATACTGCCGAACCATTTCCATTGTAAACTTAGAAAAGCTATCTTGCCCTCCTGAGAATGGTATGCTCAGCTCCTAAAGTAAGAGTTTACTTCAAGTTTATCATTTTTTAAATCTTTGGTACTTAACTAAAAGAGTGACATTAAAAAGAGCATTTATAAGC